GGAGGCTTAGGTTTACAAAGCCTGCTAAGTTTTTTGTTTTGGGGTTTTTTTAAAGACTTTATTTATTTGAGAGAGAGACAGGGCATAAGCAGTCGGGAGGAGGCAGAGGGAGAAAGAGACTCCATCTGTGAGCAGGGAGCCCAACACAGGGCTTCTGGGATCATGACCTGAGCCGAAGGCAGGCGCTTAACCAACTGAGCCACCCAGGCGCCCCAAAGCCTGCTAAGATTTTACTTTCAGTTGGAATTGTGAATTGAAAAGATGTTTGCAGAGAGGGTTCTTGGAGAATCTTATTTATGAATAGTAATAGTTGTATGCTAGTTATTCTCCATTTGTCTCCTTGAGATCCATCCTCCATCCTTCTATGCCTAGCTCTATGTCCTCAGAAGCTGACCCATGCAGATTCATCATCATGTTCCAACACCTTACCACCTAGTTTCCAGTTGGGTTTGGCCGATGTTAGATATCAACATGAAACTGGAAAGTTTGAGAAGAAAGAGATTGGCATTCTTCCCTGCCTCCTCCTTTCTATACCACAGCCTCTCTGGCATTAGCTATATCTCTATGATTCTCACTGGGCCCCTCCTTCAAGGTTCCAGTTCTTACTTAGCTCCAGAAACACTAATTGCTCTCCTAAGAGCTTCTTACTGTTTCTATGTGCTTCATCATCTCATTTATTCCCATTACCATGCCCATATCCTTGAAAATAGTCTCTTCATTTGGACTGAATTCTGTTTCCTTCTGGGTCCCTAATAATTACTACATTTTAAAATCTATGTGTGGCATTATTTCTAAGCCTCATCATAACCCTGCAAGACTACACTAACATTATTACACATTTACAGGTAAGAACACATGATTCAGACAAGTAAAATGCCCAAAGTCACACATCTAGTAAACCAGTTGGGATTAAAACTCTAGTCCTAACAAAAGCCATTTTCCTTATTTATTTAAATTGGTAAACAGGGGCACCTGGGTGGTGCAGTCTGTTAAAGCCTCTGACTCTTGGTTTCTGCTGGGGTCTGATCTCAGTGTCATGAGACAGGGCACCTCATTAGGCTCCGTGCTCAGTGCAAAATCCGCTTGAGTTTCTCCCTCCCTCTCCCTCAGCCCCTGACTGCCCTGCCCCCGCCATGCCACACTCTCTCTCTCTCTCAAATAAGTAAATAAATCTTTATTTTTAAAAATATTCTATTTATTTATTTGTCCAAGAGAGAGCACGCACAAGCAGGCGGAGTGGCAGGCAGAGGGAGAGGCAGGCTCCCCACTGAGCAAGGAGCCCAATGAAGGACTTGATCCCAAGACTTTGGGATCATGACCTGAGCCAAAGGCAGATGCTTAACTGACTGAGCCACCCAGGCGACCCAGGGGTCCCAGTAAATAAATCTTTATTTTTTTTTAATTTTTAAAAATATTTTATTTATTTATTTGAGAGAGAGAGGGAAAAAAATGAGAGAGAGGAGGGTCAGCGGGAGAAGAAGACTCCCCACTAAGCCGGGAGCCCCATGCAGGACTTGATCCAGGGACTCCGGGATTATGACCTGAGCCGAAGGCAGATGCTTAACCGACTGAGCCACCCAGGTGCCCTAAATAAATCTTTAAATAAATAAATAAATAAATAAAAAGTTGTAAACAAATTCTATTTATATTTTTTCCCAAGACTTTATTTAAATATCAGATTTTATGTCACCTCTTTTATGACTATGTTAAGCTTGAGCCCTTCTTCTTTTTTTTAAAGATTTTACTTATTTATTCATGAGAGACAGAGGGAGAGAGAGAGAGAGAGAAGCAGAGGGAGAAGCAGGCTCCCAAGGGGCAGGGAGCCCGATGCGGGACTCGATCCCAGGACCCTGGGATCATGACCTGAGCTGAAGGCAGATGCTTAACCATCTGAGCCACCCAGGCGCCCTTGAGCCCTTATTCTGAAATAGAATTTGATGAAATTCACAAAGAAATTGCTAAACTCAAGTACAGTATCCCTAACTGATAAGTTTTAATGACTATAGTGAGAACAAAAGACTCTTATTTAAAACAATGATAAAATTTGAGAATCTGCTTTTGCCTGGTGCTAAACTTAAGTCTTCTTTGTCTTCAATTTTTTGGCAGACACCCAGGGCTACAACTCAATAAGCATTCCTAGATCCCTTATCCCTATCTTTTTCCACTTTAAAGGCTAGTTCCCCCGGAATCCTTGGTAGGTATCTGTGGTCAGGTGACCCATGTCTGGCTAATGAAAAATGAAAGTTTTCCCTTTACTGATAAAAGGAAAGAACTATTTTTCTTCGCCCCCATCCCCTGTTTCGTGCTTAGAATAATGGTGTGATGTGTGGAATTATAGCAGTCATCTTGTGACCATGAACGAGTATAAGAATGCCCCAAATATTTCATAGTATATACTTATACTAAAAAGAGTATTATCATTTTATACATTATATACAAGTACATATTCAATAAAGAGCTGTTAGACTTAGCTTAAAAACTTCATTCTGCAAACTCTCAAGCCTCTGAGTTTTGTTGTTGCTTTATTAAATATTAGATGGATGAAAAGAATATTTATAAAATATATGCATGGCATAAAGAAAAACAATACACTGACCAGCTAGGTAATCGCCACCCAGCCTAAGAAAAAGGACAACTTCAGAGGCAAGCTTTATCCTAGATTTTATGTTTATCCATCTTTTGCCATTTTAATAATACCCTTTGCTTTCTTTTGTTCATATTTATCCCTTTTGAAAGGCTAGGAATTAAGACCTTTAGCTTTTTTTCTCCATTCATGTTGCTAATGTATGAAACACTTTGGTCCCAACACACTTTATCTTTTAAAATTCAGGAGAGAGCCTGACAGCTTCCCTCCCTTCTCAAATAACAAGGCATAGAGAAAGGTGCAACATTAAAATCAGCAAGTTTTTTAAACTTCTCTTTATATTGGTAATCAAAAGACTTCAGGAGGACCACAATTCATCTTTTCAGAGCTAGTTAGATAAACAGAGGTACACACGGGATGTGGAGGAGGTCTTACAGTTAGGGTTGGGGGTTGGTCTTTGTATTTAGAGAACAAACTTTGAGGTTTCCAAAGGGGTTCCCCTGCCCCTCCCTCAGCTCAGTCCTAGGCAGGCAGACCCCTGCCCAAGCCTCCCTCCTGAGATCCTGCATATGCTTTCTTGCTAAATGACTCTTTGCACCGTTATCTCCTCACGGGATACATCTGTTGGGTGCCTTGCATCCTCAGCTCTGCTTTCATCTCTTCATATCGCAACACATTGTTTCCTCCAGTCCTGGTGCCAGGGTGGAAGGGAGCCATCCCGCCCGGACGCACTCAGGGATTGGCAGCGAATGAATGATTGGCAGCGGGTATCTCTGTCAGGGCTTTGGCATGCTGCAGAGTAGAAGCCCTGTGCTAATGAATGCCATCTACACCTACCAGATGTGCCACTGGGTGACATGCCAGATCTTTTACATAATGCCATTCTGCCGGACAGGAGACAGCTGGGGGAGGGGAGTATATTTTAATGCCTTGGGGTGTAAGTGGGTCTGTCGTTACTTTTACTTCAGATCTCCCGCCACCACCCATACACCCAATCAACTCCCCTTACAGTAGGCTAAAACCTACAGCTGAGGGCATCTCTGGGGAGTTTGAGCTCCCTGAACAGATAGATCCCTTGGCTCTCTCCCATATTCTCGCACCTTTTTCCTTCCTTGAGTTTGCTCCCCTCTCCTATTCAAACTCAGGAAAAGGGAATGTTATTTTTTTAAGTTAAAGATATAAAAACACTGGCAGGATCTGAAATGAAAAGGCGGGGGGAGAAACCATACTTCCTACCCCTCCCCCCAATCTCTCCTTCCCTATGCTAAATGTGCAAGAGCTTTCTTCACCCCACCCCCTTCCTCTTCCACAGTCCCCTGCAAACTAGTGTGTTTATCCCCACCGTCCCCTGGAAACTAGTGTGTATATCCTGTCAGTGCCTGTCCCACGTTCTGGCTGAGTAGTTGTCTTAGTGTGTAGGTGTCCAAAAATCCATGCCGTTGGAGAGGAATGTTTCCTGAAGTGGGATGGACAAAGTGGGAGGAAAGGGAAATGAGAAAACCACTTCTGACAGTTAGCGGGTGTGAGCACTCGGAGTGTTTGGGACCCCCCACCCCCACGCTGCCCAGCTCTCCACACCCATCCCTGTAGAAACGAAAGAATTGCCTAGTGGGTCCCCTGCTCTTTCACTAGACCTGCCAATCGGAACAGCCCCGAAATTCAGGGGGCTTGACAAGGGCAGCCTTCTGCTTCTCCCCAAGGGCCAAACCCCCTCACCCACTCTCACACACACTCAAGCACTCGGGCCGCTCCCGCGCCGCAGACCCCGGTCCTTTGCCCCCTTTGGGCTGAGCCGCCAGGCCCCTTCCCTTGCATCCGCACCCCGCCCGCTGCCGAGGCTCCAGATGGCGGCTCCTCGCGTTGGGCTCGAGGCCCCCAGACACCGCCCAGCAGCAGCCGGCGGTCGCTCCCTCCCTCCCTCCCAGCTGCTGCGGCAGAGACCGGGACGGACCGCTCTGCGAAGAGGGCAGGCTCGTCCACCGGCTCTGATAGGGGCAGGAGCCCGGCAGCCGAGGGGCACGCAGGAGCTGTGCGCACGGGGAAGGAGCCCTGCAGGCCCCAGGTGAGGAAGCCGAGTCGGAGGGTGCAGGGAAAGAAGGGAGAGCCTGACCAGTTTCATAGCGCCCTCACACCCCCTCACTGTCCCCTGACCTTCCTTCCCTCACCACCTTCCAGTACCCCGCGCTGCAGGCCGAGCAGTAGCTGGGCCGGAGCACCCGCGGGAGCGCGGGGAGCGGCTGCGCAGCCGCCAGGAGGGGGCGCCCAGCTCCCCCGAGCCGGGGCTGTAGGGCGGGCTTTGCAGGGGATCCCGCCCGCAGCCCAGTGGGAGGCTGCTTTGGCCGGAAGGGTGCCCCCTTCTGCTAGAGAACGGTAATGCCCACCAGCTGTGACCACTTCCTTCCCCATTTCTCCTCTCTTCTTCCTACCCCTCTCTCTCATTTCCTATTTGCTTCCCTTTTTTTCTTGCTTGCCAGGTTCCCTTCCTACCCTCCGCCTCCCTCCTATCATTCTGGAACTTGCCTCTCCTTCCCTCATCCCTTCACTGGCTCAGGGTTTGTCTGCCCACCGGGGGATGATGGAAGGGGAATGGATCTCAGGCCTAGGCTCCGGCTCCTCTCCACAGATGCTTCTCTGAGTGCCGAGTAAGCAGCCCTGAGACTGGCGGCTCGCGGGGTTGTGCTCACTCTCTTACGGGCCAGGGGCCGGCGACTCTTTATTTGCCGGTGAGTGACGCGTTCGGGAGCAGCGCTTCCCCTGAACAGGTAGTTCGGAATTGATTCCTCTTGGAGGATGCATGTATTAAGCTCAGAGCCTTAGGTACTAAGCCTCTTTCTTCCACCCAAAAGTCGGACCACTCAGGGGCATCTTCCCCTTACACACATCCTAAAAACCAAAAGTCTGTCTCTCGGGACAGTTCTCACTGCTTTCTCCTCCAAAGCAGTTCTCCTGGGTGCGGGGGAAGGGGGCGCGAGGGAAGCACTAAAAGGCCACCGCGCCTGGCATCGGCGCCCATCTGAGGTCCTCTTTAATCCCCCGTGTTCTGGCGCGTGCCCACAGACCCTCTGTTCACCGCTGCGCCGCAGCCCTTGGGCATTAGACCCCCGAGAGCACGTTCCCGTAAGCTCCCAGCACAAATCCCCTCAGAAACATTAATCACAACTACCAGTGAATGCAAAATGTGTGCCCGTGCCGTGTCTGCTTTTTAATCCCGAATGTAATTCTGGAAAGCAGCATCAGAAAGGGGCTTTATTAATCCCTTACACGAACAAATACAATCTCTGACCTACTAGACTTGTTTTCCTGCAATTTCACGAAGAGTTAGACTCACTAGAGGAATGTTCAAAGACAGGAAAACTGTGAGAGACTTGTGGTGCATTAATGCAATAATGGGGTGCACTTCAGCCAAAAGGTGCACCTGTTGGGGAATGGAATCCCTGGCCAGGGGTCCTGAAATTCTGCAGGGGCTGCAGCAGAGTGGGGGGGGGTGAGAGGGGCAAGGGAGAGTGAGCTGGGTGGCAGGCACCTAGCGAGGTTGGGAGCCTGAGAGGAAACCCAGTTCTCTCTCCTCTGCAGGCTTGGGACCCAAGTGATCTCATCTGGGGGGATGCCTCCCTATGAAGGCGCTAGGAGAAGCAGAGGGGCCCACCCACGGCACTCAGCACTTGCCCCCCCCTGAGGCCTGTTCCTCACATTTGAGATTTCACTATCATGTTCAATTAATCATATTTCCCTTCTCCCATTTTGTTCAAAACCATCTTCTAGTCTTTCATAATCGTAATTTGCACCATTGCCTTTTATCTGTGATTAAATAGGAAATCGATAAAGACAATGGAGGGTCGGGCCTATAAATTAGCGTTAGGGACTGATATACAGACAGACAGACGGGGCGCTGTGGGTGGGCACTGCCAATCAAGCCTGGGGGCCGCCGCCGGCTGCGCAGGAAGGGGTTGAGAAAAGGCGCTGGGTGCGCGCTGAGTGGAGTGTCTGCTCTGAAATAACCCCAGTGGGCGCAAGCAAAGACTTCTCACTGTACTAAGTGTAGAGTCTCTGGTGATTTTTAGCTTTTCCTGTTTGAGTCTAGAAAAAAAGAGAGGAAAGGATCTGGGTGGGGAGGATGGGACTCCTATTTCTGTCAAAGAGGCCTCCCTCCTGGCAGATGAACAGATTTAAAGCCGGGTGTTTTTAGGCTGGGGTCTATTTCTTCCGGGGATGGAGAGTTAGATTTACTTTTGCATCCTTTCCTTCCCTCTCCACTTGCCTACTAGTCTGAGGGAGAGTGAGAGGAAGGGGAGAAGGAAGGGAGGGGGGAGAAAGAAAAAGAGAGATTGAGAGACTCTGTTATTATGATCATATCATAACTCCCTGGCCAAGGAGAAATTTTGTAACACGGAGTCGCTCTCTGCTCTCGGCAGAGGTGCAGGATGGTTCCGTATTGTTTTTCTCCCTCCATGAAATCGATCATGCCTCCCAGACGGCTGAAGGAGGGCACTTTGCCACTCTTCACAGCTTCGCTCCAGCCTCTTTAGCTTTCAATTGAAAACCAATTAAAGGTTTCTATAAATCTGTTAGCTCCCCTTTTATCTGGGGACCCCTGATGCATGCGATACTGCCCTTTAGATGCCTCTTCCGTGTTTTGTTTTACAATTGTTGTATCAATATAATGCGGCCTTTCTTCTCCTGTCTCTATAGATACAGATACACAAGGAAAACCAAAGCTATTCAGTCTCCTCATTTGTCCAGCAGCCTAACAGTGGTGCCCTTTCTCTGCTGCTGCTTTCCCTGCTTCGGGAGCAGCAGTTATGGTAGAAGCAGATGGCTACTGATTGGGGGAGCTTTGTGGCTCTAATACTGAATACTTTATGGAAAAGGACTTTATCATGCTTCGCTGGGCAGAGGAACAAGGGGGTGAGATTTATGGCCAGGAAAAATAAATCTTTTCCAAGTTGTGGCTCCTTCTCACCAGTTGTCTCTTTTGCTGGTGGGGGGGGGGGATGGAAACACCGAGGTATTAGTTTTATTTTATTCTCTTTTCTGCTAACAGCACTTTTTAGTCAGAGTCTGAGAGGAGAGCAGACTAAGAGCCAGAAGTTTATGGAATACCTTAGGTGACCATTGCTGCATCAGCATTCTCTGCCCTCAGGGAAAAAGCAGAAGGGTACGGTCTTGAATGCTGTCTGGGGCCATGTTTTCCCGGATGTCCTGTTAGTTGCTGGGTAAAACATCATCCTCCATTATCCTATTATCTATAGAGAACAAAAAGGGATGTAAATGCTCCCATCCGAAAAATCAGAGAAGGTCACTGGTATTGAAGGAGTGGGGCCCTGATGAGGCATATGGTGATGCGGGTATGCTCCTCTACTCTGAAAGGGTCTGAGCTGCAAGGATGATTAAGGGATGTCTGTGACTGTCAGTTTTTGGACTCCTAATTGAATTTTCAAGCTTTGGAGAATATACAGATTCCAACACTCCACTGAAGGTCCAATTCACCCCAAGATAATTGATCCTTGCATGTTTTCTCTTTTCTTCCCCTCACCTAAGTTTTACTTCTCTTGAGTCAGATATGCCCTACATCTGTTGCAGGAATGTATCCCTTCTCCATATGCAGAGGGCTGCACCCCCTTTCTCCTCCTATTCCCAAAACCTGTTCCCTAGAGCAATGCCACCCTCTCTTCCATCTCTTCCCTTAGATCTTCCCCTCCCAGGGGCCATGACTAAAGACACCGAAATACTCCCAACATTGGGAGCCAGGTACTGGCAGCCAGGCACAGAGACATGGAAGCCAATTCCAATCCTAGGTCCCCTATTCCACATCAGACAGACTCCTTGTCTCCTTAATATTGAAATGACATTTTCTAGTAAAGAAACATTTGTTCAGAATCTTTCATGTTCTAAGCTCCTTTTCCCTGCCTTTCCTATTCTTTTACCTTGTCCCTAGAAACTGAAGAGGAAAGGCTAGATAGAAGGAAAGGCATGCAGCTTCGGGAAGTGTCCTCTAACTTTCTGCCACAAGCTAGTTCTTCCCAATTCTGCAGGCACTATCACCCCACATAGCCACGCACACCCTTGTGCATTGTTTCTCTCTGAAGAGGAGAAAAAGTGGAGCAGAAAAACCAGGACTTATAAATTACATTTACCTAGATTTCAAAGTGGCAGGCACTGAGATACCTTAAATAATTAACTTTTTGGGCTCTTACTGTGTGCTAGGCTGAATGCTCTGCCAGGCTTATCGCATTTAATTATGACCCTCTGAGCCAAACACTATTCTCTCTAGTTCACAGATCCCCTTTCTTCACAGAAAACAGAAGCACAGAGAGGCTAACTAACCCAAGCAAGTAGTCCAGCTGGGATCTGAACCCAGGCTTGCTCTTGCAATATCCATAGCCACCCTATGAGATAAATGTTGTTTTTGCTATTTTACAAGTGAAGAAACTAAAGTTCAGAGAGGTTGGGTGATTTGCTCAAAGACACACAGCTAGTAGATTGCAGATCTGGGGTTCAAACATAAGTGTTTAGGATCCCAAATTCCGGGCTCTTAACTACTGCCTCTCGGATCCTTCACAAGAAAGAGCAATAAGGAGGCCACAGCTGACCTCTGAGGCCGGGAACTTGCCTGGGCGGGAGATTTCGCAGAGCTTGAGGCCGTAGGCGTGCGGCGAACACAAAGCGCCCGCTCCGGGCTGCGGCTGCGCCAAAAGCCGCGTGCGGCCCGGGTAGGAAGCTCAGCCCCGCAGCCCTGGCCCGGAGACGGGCTCCGTCGGCCGTGCGGCCCACAATGCTCCGCGCGCAGCCCGCGTGCGGGCGTCGGGGGCGGGGCCAGGAGATAGTCGGAGTGGGAACACGCGCTGCTCGAAGTCCCAGGGCAGCAGGGCACCTTCCCGCCGAGTGTGTAGGGGAGGGCCGGAGCTTCCCACTCGAACCCGGGGCCTCCTGCTGCGGAGCCGCCGCCCTTCGAGGGAGAGGAGGGGCAGCGCGGCTCGGAGGCCCTGAGCCCTGGTCAGGGCCGGCGGCCTGGTTCCCCAGGTTTCCCTGGCCCCCCCAGACTTTGGCTTTCTGGCCACAGCCCTTGAATTAACCAGCGAGGCATTCACATGCTCCTTGTCCTACGTATGGGGTCGCACAACCCAGCCCTTGCTGCCCTGACTAACCGGCGTTTCCAACGTGGCGCCGCTATCAGTTCTAACGGAAGGACTCCCTGGCGGAAGAGGGATAGAAGTCTAATAGGCCTCCCGGCACAGAACTACCTCTTCCGAAATACAGAGGGGAGGAGGGAGCGGGGATTGCCGCCTGTGCTTGGAACATTCGGGCCCTTCCTTTGGCAGTAGAAGGGATCCCTGAACACCTGAACAGATTGCTCCTGCCTCCTTTATCATCCAGTACCTCCTTCTGGTTTCCCTAGAAACTTCGAGAAATCCTTTAGCCTTCACTGAGTGGCTTCGAATGCGGGTGCACAATACAATTCCCAAATTTTCTAAAAAGGAAGCGAAGGCAATGTCACTAACAGTAGCCATAGCCAGCACTGAAAGAGCTGTTTACTATGTACCAGGCATTGTTCTCTGCACTCGCTAAATATCACCTCACCCCTCACAATAACTTTACGGGGAGAATTTCCTTTACCACTCCCGGTTCTCAGATGAAGGCCTGAAGCACAGACCGGTTAAATTACCTGCCCAAAGTCAGGGGTTAGGATTCAAACCCGGGGAGTTTCGTGCCCCTGGTGGAGGTG